TCCCTCATTAACATCATAGAGGCAGGTTTACAACATACGGGAAAATCACACAGTACCAGGAACCATGGCCTAGCCAAATTGATACATACATTTTTGGGGGAACATAAGTCAAACCATGACACCTTGGCTGCTAACCAAAAGGTTGGAGGTTAGAGTCCACCTAGAGGGGTCTTGGAAGAAAGACTTGGTGATCTACTTCTGAAAAATCAGCTGTTGAAAACCCTGTGGAGCACAGCTCTACTCAGACACACATGGGGTCATCATGAGTCAGAGTCAACTTTACAGCAACTGGTACTGGTCCATCTCAGGGAGTGTTGCTTTGAATGTCAAGGAGAAAAATTTTAGTTGTGAGACATTTTCCCAGACAGAGACCTTCTTCTTGCTTCTGCTACAATGTCCTAGTCAGAATTGCTCCACAGTGGAGGGTATCGCCTCAGCCCCATAACATCATCCCTGATGATGGTGAGTAAAGGAATCGCCTCCCTGAGCCCACCCCAGAGAGGCTGGCTTTAGTAACAGCTGCCAGTGCAGCAGCTTGGAGCACGGGAAAGCCACTAGCTAGGCAGAAAGGCAAGAGTGGAGCTGAGGGAGAAGGAGAGAGCAGCCCACAGAGCTAGGCGGCCCAAAAGGAAGTTTCTAAGAGAGGAATGAGAGTGGGCAGGAAGCAAAGGGAGGAAGGTGTTTGGTTCAGTTGAAGTCACTTCCTTAACTTCAAGCCAGAGCCCCCTCCCCAAAGTCACCGGATACCAAGGCAATGAGGAGGAGAGCACAGCCTCCCGCTCCTAGGTCCTGATGCACTGTTTCCAATCCTGGGGTCTAGTACAAGGCCTTCAGACAGGAATCTGCTGTTTCTGCCACTGGGAACTCCAAGACCAGAGCATCCCCACCCCATAATGAGCTCCTGGTCTGCTTTCCACCCATCCCTAGTTTAGCCCTGCCCAACAGGTGCAGAACATACCCTGTCTCAGGGCCCTCAAACATGCAACTTCTCAGGAAGTTTGTTGTTGTTGAGTGCCTCATACACTTCTGACTCATTACAACCCCATAGGACAGAGTGCAAGTTAGGAGAGCCAAGAAATGTGAACAGAAGCCCTGGTGCCGCTCCCCCACCTCTTCAACACATAATGCTGGGGATCCTCCCCGTTCTGCCAATCCCCCTTGCCATCAAGTCAATTCCCACGCATAGCAACCCTATGGGACAGAAAAGACATCCATCCTTACATACTTCTTGTGGCCTCAGGCACCAAGCTTGGCCATTGGAATGAGTAAGTCATGGTCCCTGCCCTCAAGAGCAATCGGCGTGGTGGGGGTAAATGGGCAGAGGGAAGGAGGTGGTAAGGAAGGGAAGCTTTAACCTTAAAATGTTCCACAGCAAATGTCTTTTGACCTCACGTTGATTCAGCACTTAAGGTCCAGGCTGCTTGTTCACAGTTCATGTCCTTTCAACATCATTCTCAAGCATTCTCTTTTATCTGTCACCAGCTATGTTTCCAGCCCTGTTTAGTCCTCAGAGGTTTATAAGAGAAATAGAAGACACATCCCTGCCTTCAAAATGTTGACAGGACTTGTGCACATGCGAAGCAATTAGAGAACAATTCAAGCAGAGAGTCAATAAATGTTAGCTAGCACATGTACAACAATAGATTATAATCCTAGGACAAAATGTCTGATAGGAAAGGCATCGGGTGAAGAGCAGTCAGTGTAGGCAGAGATGTTGGTAGCAGGCTTCGTGATGTCAAGACTTCGTGGAGGAGGCGGGACTTGAGCTAGAGGTCATTTAGATGGGCAGAGGGCAAAGACAGGAGAGATGAGGATATTGGTCAACAGTTGGCTGCTATGTTGGGAACAAAATTCCTGGGGGAAGGAGCACATTAAAACCAAGGACTCTTTGCCACCAGTCTTTTGGATGACTTTTTGGACCCTTTTCTCTGTGTCTCAGTATTCTACACAGGGGCTAAGCAAGATTAAAAAACCAGTTACCATCAAGTCAACACCAACTCATGGTGATCCCATGTCTGAGAATACAACTGTGCTCCATAGGGCTTTCAGTGGCTGATTTTTCAGGAGTAGATCACCAGGCCTTTCTTCTGAGGTGCCTCTGGGTGGACTCGAACCTGCAACCTTTCAGTCAGCAGCCCAGTGCATTAACTGTTTGTACCATCCTGGGACTCCTAGACAAGATTAGTGCTTCTCAAGCCCCCCACCACCAGCATCATTAGCATCACCTGGGAATTTGTTAGAAATGCAAATTGTAAGGCCTTATTCCCCCACTGAATCAGAAATTTGGGGGATGGGGTCCTACAATATATTCTAACAAGCCCTCTAGGCAATTCTGATGCAGGCTGGCTTCAGAACCACTGGATTAGATCAATGCCTTTCACGCCTGCCACTCATTAGACTCACCTCGGGAGCTTTTAAACTGAAAGATGCCTAGGCCCCACCCACAGAGATTCTGATTAATGCATCTGTCCCTGGGAATCGGTGTTTTACAAAACCCTCCAGATGATTCTAAGGTGCAGCCAGGCTGCAAGCGGTGGGCTAGATGATGCCCAAGTCCTTTCTGACTTAGTGCCCTGGGATGGACTCGGAGAGCGTGAGCCGGGGTACCTGGTTCACCAAATCTAATGGAATGGATTTGTAGACATTTAGCAGATGGATTTGGGGGCAGGAGACCTTCCTGGGTTCCTAAAATTTTAATTTCTCAAAGAGCAGCTTGTTGATGGTGTGTAGATTTCCTCTTACCTGCCTGAGCCAAGAACACTGTATAGACAGTGAGCATCCTACCCCAACCACAAATCAGTGTGCACAAGAAGCACACACACATGCACACACGCCTCACACAGTATGGTAAATATGTATATGAACACAAGAATAGCCACAGAGGAATATTCAGTGTCATGCCTAAGGGCATATGTGTGCACACAAATGAACCCACTGTCAGAAATCCCAGACCCAGCACACTCAGGCTGCTTGGGAAAGAATTCTTCTGGGTGGAAGCTGGGCTATTTGAAATAAATGGCACCTCTATCTTCCCTGCAGCCTAGCCTAGTTCAGGGTGGCAACTGGGGAGAGGGGCTTGCTATCTGAGAGGCTACCTGCACCAGGGTGAGGCAGGTAACCCATAGAGAACGCTGAGTGCAGACACTGAAGACACCCTTGTTTCTCTTACAGATTCGGGCAGATGGTCCCCCCCATGGTGGAGTCCAGTATGAGATGGTCTCTGTGCTCAAGGATGGGAGCCCCATCCTCCAGGACATGGCTTTCTCCATTGATCAGCGCTACCTGTACGTCATGTCCGAGAGACAAGTAAGTGCCAGCACCCTATCCTTCCTTCCCAAGCCCCGAGAAGAGCTGATGATCTGTGGCCTTTCCCAGTAGCTGTTCTGTCTAACAAGAGAGACCACTGAGCTTGCTGCAAAGGGACCATGGGAGAAGTCAAAGTCCCTGAGGCTTTGTGGGAGCTGAGAGAAGCAAACGGGGGCCAGCTACTTCCCGGAGGCTTCTCTCTAGGCCACAGCCCCTGTCTCAGCACCTGATGAACAGCCCCGCAATAACGGGCCAGACTGCATGGAGCAGCTCCGTGTGATTAGGAGGTAGATTTACTGCTGCTGGGCCCACAGAGTCTGCTGCTCAATGGAGCCAGAGAGATGTAAATAATCCAGGCCTCCAGGCTGGGCCCAATCCTAAGAGAGACAGACCCAAGTGAGGGCCCCCTGAAGGAGATAAAAATCTTGGCCTGGGTCTTAGACTGGTGCACGGTCGAAGCTGGTCAGCTTCTGGCAAGCTGCAACTGTGCCTGCAGAGACAGAGAGCCCTGTGAAATGACTCCTTCCCTCTACTAGGTAACAACTCTGCCCTCTCGATGGAGCAGTTACTTCCTCAGGTTGCCCAGATTATACTTGCTGTCAATATGTATGAGCAGGCAGAAAGCAAATGCAGGGAGAGCCTTGGGGAAGGGAGGGAGAGACAGAGTGCTCACCAGGTGAACGAAGATCAGAAAGCAAGGCTGGCACATTCCATTCACTCAGCCAGTTGTGGCACAGCAGCAATGGTCTTGGCATTGTCCTGAGCATGGTAGGATAAAGGCCAAAGAAGGAGAAAAAGGACTGTGGATCCCTCTTGGCAGCCAAGGACACTGACTCAGGCCAGAGGAAGATGCTGGGGCTGGAGGACCAGCCAGCTTTCACAAGGTCCCTCCCAGCTCGTGTGTCACTCTCAAAATGCTCTGCAAGGATTCCGAGTGACCTTGATCAGCTTCACCCTTTCCAGAGTCCTCTTAGCCTCCTTTCTTTTCAAATGCAAGGAATCTGAACCAAAAGAAGAGAGATGAGTGGAATGAGTAAGGAAGAGGCAAATGGGCACATGATACCCTTAAGAGAGGCAGTGATGCAGCTCTAAATTGAAAATTACTTCCGGATAGGAGACATAAATCATATGCTAATTGCATGCAAATTGCATGCAGATACTCTTGAACCCACCTGTCTTTCTTACTTTCTTACTTGGGGCCCCTGCATAAATAGATCCAGATGGGAACACAGTAGAACTGGAAGAGGCTTTGCCTAACATAGAGTGGGTAAAACCTGTCCGGAAATAAACACTGGCCTGTAATTCCAATAAAACAGTCAGTGCGCTCTAAAAGAACCCATTGCTAGGCATATATTTATTGGGAATAAAGTACTGGGAAAATATCAGAATGAATCAGATTTAGTTGTTGCCCTTAAGTTGCTTACAATCTAACAAAAGAGAGAGACAAACGTATGTGATATCAGATTGAATTATGTAAATGCTCTTCCCTTTCTTGTTATTGTTTGTTTTTAAGACAGTTACTTTTTTGAGTAAAAATTGTAAATGCTCATGATACAAATTCAAACAATACCTACAGAAAAGAAAAACGCACCCAATCACCAATTTCTACTACTCAGAACATGTCGCCATGTTAACATTTGGTGAACTCCATTCCAGAGATTTCTGCAGGAATTTATACAGATAAAAGAATGGATGGATAGATGGCGACCTAGATAGGTGGATAAATGGATGGTCAGAAGGATTGAATAGATCCACATAATATACATGACGTTTTCAACAGACAATATGTATGGCAGGGGAGCAGGCAGGAGACTCTGGTAAGAGCTCTTTCTTGGGTTCTCCAAGCCCAATGAGGTGGGAAAGCAGAAGCAAGTAGGAAAGACCCAATGATACCCTGATGAAGCTGAGAAGATACCAAGGCACAGATTTTAGCTGCAGATCTTTAGCTCAACTAGGATGCTTTTTGAAACTGCACTCAAAACGAGGCCAAAGGAGAGGGTCTGGTCAGGGCTGGAGGCCAACAAATGTGCTTCAGGGAATGAGCGACCTCTTGACACTATGGCTGACCCTGCCACAGAGACCTTCAGAGTGGCCAAACCAAGGGTCCACATAGCTTGTTTGTAAATCCCGTCTCCTTCGCCCTCACCTTCTGCCTCAGCTGCCCAACTCTTATTACTGTCTGCATGAAACAGAGGGGTTCAGTGGTAGCCAGTCATGATGAGCAGATAGAGGAAGAATTTGGGCTTAATGCTTCAGGGATGTCTCTTGTCAGACAAGATATTAGTAGGGGGGCTCCCTGTGCCAGGTGGAGCTATGACTGGGGGGTACAGTCTAAGAGGAATTTGTGGTGGAGCTCTGAGGCCTGTCCCCTGGAGAGCCATAAATTCTGTAGAAATAGGTAGCCAGGTGATTTAACCAGGGCTGAGTCCAGGGACAAGGGCCAAGAACAGCTCAGGAGGCCCATCTGTCTGAGGCTGAGCGGCTGAGAGCACAGAGTATTCACAGAGAGCTTGGACCTTGGAAAGGAAATGTGTGGTGAGAGAACAATCAATGAAATGGAGTCCAATGACCAGGGTTCTAGGCCAGCTTTTGCTGTAACAGGTAGTATGAATCTCTCACAGCTTCAATTTCCTCATTTATAAAATAGAGGAATTGCATCAGATAATAGGATAATCTCTGAAATTGAAACTCTGAATTTGAATCTTATCTTGCCATTTTGTAGCTGAGTCACCTTGGACAAGTCACTTGATTTCAGTGTGTCCAGGTCAGCGTGAGGCTCACCTGAGACAAGAGGAATTGCCTGTTGCGCTACCTCACACGTCACACAAATAATTCGTTGTTCTGATGCTATGTGTCCCCTTCCACCTCTCATGCCTTTTGGACTCCATTGTTCAGGAGTATAGAGCGGCTTTTTCTGAGGGTGCCCCCTGGAAATAGCCTGTCTCAGAGACTGTGAGAGATGATTAGAAGGAAGAAAAGCAGCAGTGTGGCACAGCCAGCAGGCCTCAGGCTGACCCAGGAGGCCCACGTTCTCTGCAGTCACACCCCAACCTCAAACTAGCAGGCTGACCTGGGCCAAGTCCCCTAACTTCTCAGGAACTCAGTTTCCTTACCTATAACAAGGGAGATGATAAATCTAACTCTAAAGTCTCTTTCAGATTTGATAGGCCCTGGAACTGGGGTTCTTCTTCTCTAGAAGATAACCCCAAAAGCATAGTAGATGGGCTTGAGGTTAGACCAAAAGAAGAACTTCCTGAATGAGAGATGTGTAAAGCAAGGGGAGTCCATATAAACATCTGCCTTGAAGGCTGAACACTTCAGAGAGGATAGGAGTGCTGGTCTGGTTATGGTTAAGTGGATTCCCATTTTGAGGCAGCGATATGAAGTTGCCTTGGAGTTCTCTAAAAGACCCAGGGCCATATACGGCATCCTGATAATGGGGCTTCTCATCACTTTATAATGAATATCTGGGCAGTCAGCTCTCAGCCCTGCTCTCCGTACTGTCTCCCAGCTTTTGCATTCCCCTGTCCCCTCCCCAAACACATACCCATTGCCATCGAATTGATTCCAGCTCATCATGACCCTATAGGACAACTGCCGCATAGGGTTTCCAAGCTGTAATCTTTACCGAAGCAGACTGCCACATTTTTCTCCCACGGAGCAGCTGGTGGGTTCAAACTGTCAACCTTTCGGTTAGCAGCTGATCACTTTAACCACTGTACCACCAGGTCTCCACCTATTATATCCTTGGGGCCGTGGACACACTGTGAGAGAAGAACCCTGGCCTCAAGTTCTGCCTAGAAAGGTTTTAACTCCCTACAGATCTAGAACAGTCTAATATGGCTCTCTCTCTCTCTCCTGCTCTCCCTCTTTTAGAGTTAATTAACTGTAATTACAGGAGCCCTGCTAGCACAGTGGTTAAGCGCTCCACTTCTAAAACCGAAAGGTCAGCAGTTTGAACCCACTAGCCGCTCCTCGGGAGAAAGAGGTGGCAGTTGGCTTCCATGCAGATTACACCCTTGGAGGCCCTATGGGGCAGTTCTACTCTGTCCTATAGTGTTGCTATGAGTTGAATCAACTCAACAGCAACTTTTTTTTTTTAATGTAATTAAGAAATAGGACTAGTAAGAAGTGTTGGGTCATTAGTGCCACTGCCTAACAAGTCGATTTTAATGTACTGTTAATAGATCTAAGACAGGGCAGTCCCGAGGGAAAATTTGGGAACTGATTTCCCAATCCTTTAATTGCCCAGGCACTCCACTTACAGGATGCAGGGCTGTCCCCTAGCAAGCCCTCCCCAGCGTCATCACCAGTGAGCCAACAGATGTTATGGGTGTGAATACAAGTTGTTGCCATATCCCCAGTGTCTAATGGAAATCAGGCAGCGAGTTCAGGAAAAATCAGGCTGCGAGCCATGTGCAAAACAAGCAGCAAGATGGAAAGGAACTTGATAGCCCCAGTTTCCACCTAACTTGTCAGGCTGGCCCCTCCCAGAAAGGGAATCTAACTCTGTACTCAGGGTGGATAGGAAAGGAGTATGGAAATGGAAGCAATTATTCTATTTTATACTTTAATTAGTTTGAGTTAGCAGAGGGAATAGAGGCATAAAATGATCCAGCAAAGGGTGAAATGGAAGAAGGGGCTCTCGGTGGAGAATGGCTCCGTGCAGGCAGGATGGGGCCTTGGGAACAGCAGAAAGGCTGGCAATGGGTGTGTGTTTAGGGGTGGGGCTTGGGATGTGCTCTCTGTTTTAAGGCCTGGAGAGGTAACACAGCATAGAGGTTAAGAGCTGGAGAATGGGAGTCAGGCCAAACCCGGTTCAAGCCATAGCCACTTACTAGGTTTATGGCTTTGAGAAAGTTATTTAACGTCTCGAAACCTCAGTTTCTTCATCTGTGTAATGGGCCTGATGATAGTAACTGTTGAGAGACTATACCTAACACTGTGCCTGACACATAGTCGGCGCTTTCAATAGATGGTGTTGATTATTATCATTATCG